AGAGAAATACTGTTAACTGATGGTACATGGAGGGGATTGTAATCATTGTAATGAAACAAGGTGTATGATTTGTTGAATGTAAAACTGATGATCTGCCCTGTAAACTTGAACTCAATCTACAATAAAATCCTTAAAAAAAAAAAAAAAGGACAACATGTGGAGTGACAGAGAGCGGGCGGCCAACACCTGACTTCTGGGTGTGGCACCCCCCGCCCCAGGCTGGCCAGAAGTGAGGGAGAGGGATGCTAAGAGTAATTGTGAGAAGACCAACTCAACGCTGGTCCCACACAAGTATCTGGATGGTGGGGCCTGCAAGTACCATGGAGGGAGCAGGAGGAAGGGATCTCTGGTGATCTGAGGAATGGCCCCCACCCATCTGAGCATATAACCCTGACTTTCCCTGAGACTCCCAAGGGTCACTGTGCCCTTACATGGTGGCAGGTGACCCCCACAACCTCATTCTTCCCCAGGGCACTCCCTGTACCCCTAAACACCCCACAGAGCATTTCACAGGCTCCTGTACCCCTCGGCCGGGTGGGCCTCCTCCCAGTGCTCAGTCCTTGCCCCACTTCCCAAGCCCATCCCTCACACACACACCCCACCCCCGCCGCGTGCCCCTTCAGGTCTGACTATGACCCAAGGAGGGTGTCAGGTGTGGTGGGAGGAGCCGGGCTGTGTCTATGGTCTGTTTCATAGAACATGTGCAGAAAACACGCATGTTAGCTTCACACGGTGGCCACATTCCACGTGGCCGGCCCCTTACTTGGTGCTTCTCTGGGCCTGAGACACAATGTTGTCACGTGGTTATGGGCACATCACCCTTCAAACTCTCCAGCCCCAGAATCCCATCTAGAAAGGTAAGAGGTGGGTCTGGAGATGTCCCAGCCCCACCCGTCCCCCATTCTATCACCATGTACAATAGAACCAGGAGGGCTCCTTGGAGGAGGTGGCATTGAGCAGACCCAGGACGCTGAGGACATGGGGTACGAACACTTGCAGACAGACACGGAGGTCAGGCACCCTGAGAGGCCCTCCAATCCCCACTTGTCACCATCAACAGCTGCGTGGGATTGAGTCCAGAGCGGGAGCCCACAGCTGTGCTTACCTCTAGCACTCGCCCAGTGATGAATTTCTCACAGGCGTCACACCGGATGCCGAACTTGGCATGGTAATCAGCCTCGCAGTAGGGCAGTCCATCCCTGCAAGGAGAGAGGCATGAGGAAGGGCAAGATGGTCCCCCACAGGAGAAAGCCCCTGGAGGAGGGGGTCACTGCCAGACCCTGACTCCTGACCCCAGCTTCTACCCCTCCTAGCTGCCCGTCATCAAGTCTGACCTGACTCATGACAACGCCAAGCACAAAGGGACAAAACACCACCAGCCCTGCACTGTCCCCATGATCAATCCGGATTACCAGGCCTTGATTCCTCATCATGGCACCACACAAGTCTCCGTAGACAGACAGTTGGAGGCTGTACCTGAGGTGTGCTGGCCGGGAATTGAACCTGGGTCTACTGTGTGGAAGGTGAGGAATCTACCCTGGACCATCTCTCTCTCTCTCTCTCTCTCTCTCTCTCTCTCTCTCTCTCTCTCACACACACACACACACACACACACACATACCACACACCACAGACCACTCCTAAGCATCATGACCTAATTCTTTATCATTCTGACTCCATGGGAAGGGGTGTCCCAGGTCACCCCATCTCACAGATGGGGAAAGTGAGGCACACAGGTCCCAGCAGGGGAGGGGAGGAGCTGGGGCCAGTCAGAGTCCAGCCACGGAATCAGCTCCTTCATCCTAGCACTCCTCTGTGTTTGGGGGTGCTATGGATGGAATTTGTGTCCCCACAAATATGTGTCAGTGGGGCTGGGCCATGATTCTTGGTGTTTGGCAGTTATGTTATGATGCAATTATCACCCACAGTGTCATGTGACGTGATCAGCGGTGAGCAGGTGAGGGTGGGAGCCAACACCCTGACTCAGGACACAGCCCTGCTCCCACATCAGGGGACTCTCCCTGGGGTGTGGTCTGCACCCCCTTTGATCTTACTAGAGACCCAAGGAGAGAGAAGGGCCACCACCACCCAGAATGAAATGCCGAGAGCAGAGCTCATCCTTTGAACCAGCGTCCCTGTGCTGGGAACCTCCTAGACCCTGGGGAAGGCTGATGCCAACATACACGGAGATCTCCAGGGGGCGCTGGGCTCACGGATATGGAAGGGAGACAAGGACCTTCCCCCAGCGCTGACAGAGAGCATTCCCCTGGAGCTGGCTCCCTGAACTCACACTTGGAGATCCTAAACTGTGAGGGAAGAAATGTCTGTTTTTAAAGCACCCCCCTTGTGGTATTTCTGTTACAGCTGAAGCAGGGGGAACATCTGTCATTCAACAGATGATGGTAGGGACCCCTGCCCTCAGAGAAGAGGGAACCCACAGGTGTCAGCACACAGGGGGCCCACTCAGTGGCAGGGCCGAGGCTGTAAGATGACCACGTGGCAGGGGAACGCCCTATGCCCTGGCTTCCTTCTCTGCTCCATGAGGAGAGCTCAGCCCCGCTGAGCAGCCACGAGCCCACACACCTCACCTGTCAGCAGAGGCTACTGTGTGGCTGTGGTGCCAAACAGACTTCAGTGGAGCGTCCAGACTAAGACAGAGTAGGAAGAAAGGCCTGGCTATCTACTTCACCACCCCAAAAACAAACAAACAAACAAACATGGATCTGTAGCGTCCCTGCTTCAGGGCACTGTGGATTAGTAAAGAATGAGGTGGCAGCTCTGGTGTTGCTCCCGAAGGGCTGGGCGATCTGGGAGCCCTTCCACCCTGAGTAACCACGAAATGAGCTCACGCACTTGGCTGCCGATGGGAGGATCTTGCAGGTGGAACGCCCGTCCATGTAGGACAGGAGGTAACAGGACTGCACAGGAGAGTGGTGTGGCAGTTCTGAGGCTTCCCAGTCACGCAGAGAGCTGCGCTAGGTCTAAAGGGTCCACTCCACTCCCTGCGCTTCCTGCTGGGTGGTAGTGTGTGCTTCTCTCTCCTTGTAGCTCTTATGAGATAGAAGGGATGCAGCGCCCACCCCAGGGAGACACCCCTGACATGGGAGTAGGGCTGTGTCCTGAGCAAGGAGGGTGTTTCATCCCACCCTCATCCCCTCACCACTGATAGGCTGATCCCATCAGATATCGTGGGACATAGTTTCATCATTGTAGTTAACTGTCATTGAGTTGTTAAGGTTTCCAAGGAGCAGCTGATGAGCTAGAACCACAGGCCTTGAAGTCCAAACTGACTTTGCAATCCAGTGCACTAACCCGCAGTGCCACATCATCATAAATCAGCAAATTACACTCTTACAGAACTGCCGGACCACTGAGCATCATGGCCCAGCTGAACGGACACATTTGGGGTGGACGCTCTTCAATCCATGACTCTGGCTCAGGTTATGGCACTGTGGAGCCTGAGCAGGTGTGTACCCACCTAGTTCAGCATCATCAAAGAGGCCCTCAGTATTGGACTCACTTCTCAAGCAGCTGTTGACAGAGGTGAGGGGACCAGATTTCCCTCGAAGCTCTGCCCTCAGCCACAGGGCCATGGCCTACCCAAGGGAGTCCCTGAAACCCACCTCCATCTCTCAGGTGGGCTGTATCTCAGAGAGGAGGAGAGGGGCACTTTCTAACCCACTGACCTCTACACCCCATGAACACCCCACAGATGGGGTTGCTTTAAGCCAATCTGGGAGGTACCAGGCAAGGGAGCTGAGGGGCCTTCCTCTCCCCTGCATCTGACCCAGCCTGGCTGGGTGAGCACCAAATGCTGGGCCAGGGCTCCACCCCCGGTGGGCTCAGTCCCACCTGCAGGAGAAGGAGTGAAAGGTAGGGTCCTGCCCACTGTCTGGTCAATGGGTGCCCCCATTTATATGCTAATATATTCTGGGTCCCCCTCCCCATAGGTCTGACATGATGTGGGGGTTCTCCCCACTTACATGCTGGTGTATCTGTGCTCCACTCGCCCCCAGCTCTGACAGGATGCGGGGTGACCCCCACTTACATGCT